AGGGATGGCAATAGCTATGTCACAAGGTGGAGGGCAGAATCAAGTGAGCTGGTGTGGAGAGGACTTTGAAAAGTATGAAGTACTTTTAGAAGCACTAGTGGTGCTATTACGAATAGAAATAGTACTGTACTCTATCCATTTCATTAATTCAACAGTTAAGGAAAGGTAAAACAAAGAGGAAATATCCATTTAGATATAACTATCCAATTTTGTAAAAATATGTTTTTATTGATTTTTAGAGAGATAGGAAGGGAGAGATAGATACAGAAACATTGAGAGAGAGAAACATCGATCAGCTGCCTCCTGCACAGCCCCCACAGGGGACCCAGTCTGCAATCTGGGCAAGTACCCTGACCAGGAATTGATCCACTGACATCTTGGTGCATGGGTCAGCGCTCAAACCACTCAGCAACACCGGCCAGGCTAACTATTCAATTTTTAATGTCATTTCCATTATCTGGACATGCTTTAACTCCTGCTCCTATCACTAGGCACATACCAAAGTCCTGGAACTATCTAAATATCTTTTTTTGTTGTTCTTTCTACTGCCCTGTAGAAAATGTCATTCCTATGAGTTTGGAATGACATTCCTTTTTGATCACATGCTCACTTATGAGTGTCTGCATACATAACATTTTTCTTGTCATTATTGTTATTACAGAGTGTATGTAACTGTGGCTGATTTTCTTCTCTATTTATAAAAGGCTCTCCAGTATGCCTACTTGTTAAGGAAATTTTCTGTTAATTGGATATTGGAATGGGTGATCATAGTTGTGCCAGGAGTGTTAGACAGTCAAATTGACTACATAAACTTTAAAACATACCAGGAGATATTACACTCATTTCATGAAACACTAGAAAAAAGGAGCCAAAAAGTGTCTGAGATGGCACTCTTTGTTAGTGATATAAGGTTCATGCATTCTCTGGTAAGAGGTGGTAATCTCCTTACATGTGTTCTCAAGTGTATCTAAGTTCCGATCTACTACAGCTTACCTCTTCTTCCTTGGTATCCTGTTGGTGAAAACATTTGCTAGTACTACATTTCATGAGTTTTTATTTTTTTATTGGAACATTAGTCCAGAGGGATTTAGAGCTGTTCAGGATAGAAGCTGCAGCTTCACATTTTGAGAGTTGAGTAGCTTTTCTAAAAATGACTAATTTAATTTCATAGTTGATGTATCTAGCAGAAACCGCTTTTTTGGTGTTATGGTTTGAATACAGATTGGTTTCTTGTGAGTGAAGGCTAATCAGAGGAATAGGAAAGGTACTTACAAGGAGCTTATGAACCACTTAATTCTAAAACTAGATTGTTATAATAATATAAATCTATTTTTGTAACAATTTTTGACTTAGAAAGTTTCATTTATTTTTATCTACATCTCTTAGAGCATATCTATTAGAAATATCTATTTTCTGAAAGTATGTAATAAGAAAGGGAAAAAACCTACTTTTTCTAAAAATCAAAATTTTAGAATGGAGTAATGTAGATTTTTTATTTTTGACAAAATATGAAATTATACAACCTTTATAGAATGTTATAAAAATACGTACAATTTGAATTGAGATTTATATTATGAAATGCTATAAAAAAATCATGTTAAAAATGAAGTTAGCCATTTTGAAGTAAGAAACATCGCGTATATATTTTTTATTGCTCACATTAAGGATTGTCTTTTGAAACTATAATTTAAAATCAATTTGAAATTATAATGTAATTTGTGGACAGGTGACAGTGGTTATTTTAATCCTAATTCACATTAAAATCTGTATTTTAAAAGATGAACCTACTTTTCCATTTAGGGAAAAAGTAATTTTACTATTCTAATATTGTTATTTCAGAACGTTTGACAGTAGAGCAACTTACTGTAAATTCTCATTTTTGATAGGAGTCATTTTGTTTCCAATGGGTAGTGGATAAAGAAATCCCACTTATCTCTTTTCTGATTTTAGTTACTTTGTTCTCAGCTTGCCTATTCTCTCTCTCTCTGTGTGTGTGTGTTTCATGGACAAATTTAATGCATTAAGGGGAGAGTTCTTTTTCTAATGTTTTGTGTTGAATTTCTGCCCTGTTTATTCTTGTTCACACCCTGAAATTCAAACTGCCTTCTGCATTCTTTCTCAACAGTCTCTCCTTTTCTCTTCACTTTTTCCTGTCTTGTCGCCTTTCCTTCTTGCTTCTTTGTTGCAGTTATACTTTTTATTTGTCCTAGTGTCACTGTTTTGTATTCTCTCAACATGGTGCTTTCACTTCCTTTACCCATTAAAATAAAGGAATTCCTAGCCACTCCCTTTTCAAGACTTAAAAAAACACACAACCTTTTTCTAGAAGTATTTGGAGAAATTTAGATGCCTGCTCTCAAAGTTTTGCTTTAACTTAAAAGTGGAAAAATTCTTATCTTTTAGAAGAAATATTTGTGATAGTACATCTATTATATATCATGGGTCACTGTCTCTTTTTTTTTATTGTATAAAGTTTTACATATGTCTTAGGGTCACTATCTCTTGATGGCACTGTCAACATTGAACAGATAATATATAATTCATAAAATATTAACACATGCATATTATTCAAATAAAGTAATGATGCTCATCATTAGATTTAGCAAAACAGCTGCATTTTGAGTTTTTTTCTAAAAACAGGATTATTTAATTTGCCAAATTAAATAATGTTTAGTGAAAATGTTAATTTGACAATAAATCACAGTTTTAAATGCCAAATGCCCCAGCTTAATGTTGTTTAGGAAGTTGTTTAGAGAATACAAAGTGTGGCTTACTGTTGCTGTATGTCTAGCTTCACAGATGAAGCGTGGTGCCTGGTATTAATGGGGTTAAAGGACCCCCAGTGCTGGAACTGTGCTGTGGATTACACCTACACTGCTCAGAGTCCCCCACCCCCCTTTGCCCATATTAGCAATCTGCTTTTGTACTTTGACATCCAGGATTTCCCTAGTGAATTTTGTCACAGAAAAAAGAGAATCATCAATATCACAGTTAAACTTGACTTTCAAAGCTAATAGTATCTCATTTGGGGGCTCAAATTTAATAAATTTTCTTTGATTCTGGGTGAGTTTTTAAACATCAAACAATGAATTGGCCTGGGTGCAGTAAAATATTTAGATCTATTGACTATGGTTCAGAAGGGTAGAAGGCAAAACACCAGTGGTTTGATGTTGATAAATTCTCAGTACCTTAATCCACATTAATGTTTTCTTTTATCTGAGTGCACATTGGTGACAAAAAGAAAAGCACGAGAAGGCATCCATACATATAAAATATAAACCTAAGGCAAATATATTTTTAAAATATGATTTATTCTGTTACATTAAGTAAGTGCAATAGCATTCTCATTCTGACTGAAGACTGGAGAATGTTTGTTATGGATAAAAATATATTCTGAATTGGGACTGTAGTGTGCATATAGTCCTCACACTGTTATAAAAGTTGCCTTATAGTGTATACTTCACAGCATACACTTTGACAGAAGTTCTTCAGATAAGCTTGGCAGAATAAGGGTTTTTATACCCATCGGTTAGCATGAACAATTAAAGGTGTCATCATATGTTTGTGTATTTGCTGGTTTAAGGAAACTCTACAAAGTATGATAAGTCATTTATAAAATAAGAAGTGATTCAATAGTTTTATAAGCTGCTCACATAGAATGGGAAAATGAAGGACAGGTTTTCTATCATATTCAGTGTGGGGCAAAAGTAGGTTTACAGTTATTCGTATGGAAAATAATATAATAATTAATAAATAATAATATAATAAATTTGTTTCATGTGCTCACAACTGTAAACCTACTTTTGCCCCACTCTGTATTGCCAAGTTGCATTTGAAGTTGCTCAGGTAAAAGTAGAGATTAAATACATTTACTAGTATCTGAGCAATTAAAGTTATTTGTATAGTTCTCCCCATTTTTACCTTTGCTAAAAAGGTCATAAAAACTCTTTTTATGCTGTGACTCTAAGCTAGTTGTATAACATTTATCAAGTATATGGTAGCATAGAGATAAAATTTTAAAACTAATTCAGGCATAAGGAAAGTTAGAAAATTTGCCTACATATGAAAACTCCTACCATTAATCTATAAGACTAAAATTGAGAGCTTACTGATCTTAAAAGTACATTAAACTGTGGAATTCTTAAGGCTTTTACTAAGTTTGGAAATTAAAAGTGAAAATTATCTGTTTCTGAATGTTTTCTTATATCTAGTATTTGTATTATATAGAGAGTATTTTCTCATTTGTCCAGAAGGTGGCAGTGTAATATCAACTGCATGTGATTCCTATACTGACCAGAGATTTTGTATTTCTCCTGTGAAATGTTTGTATTGTTACCTTTCTGAACACTTAAAATGCAGTACAAATTCTACTGATTCTATCCATTACCTTACTTAGAAGTTGCATGATTGAGTTGGTTTATATATATTTAATTGATGACACTCAAGTTTATAAGAGTAAAAAAGGCAAACAAAACTCTTACTGGTATATTTTTAAGTATCCTTGTTTGTTGAGTGTATTTGTTTTTATTCCAGGGTACATAGTATTGAATTTTTTTTTCAAAGACTAATACCTAATAATTATCTTGTCCAATATATATCAGTTAATACCAGTTAAATTAAACATGTTATTAAGAAAGTGATAATGATTAGGAGATTACTGTTTGTTTTTGATTTTGTGGATTTCCCTCCCTTCTTTCCTCTTTCTTTTCAGGGAGGAACAGTGAAAAATAATTCAAAACCTCTTGATCAGAAGAGCTCCAGTGACTCTTCTTCCCTCCCTCATTTCAAGCAGGAGGATGCTTTTTCTTCTTAACATTCTCCCCCAGCACTCTGAATTAGAGATTTATTTGCAACGAAAAATCAATTAGTCCTAAATTTATTCATGGATTTCAGGTCCAGCGATCAATGCAAGTCCACTCAGTGGGCTCAAGGGGACCCAGTTCATCCCAGTTAATGTGTCTGAAGGGGAATTACCATTGATGCTGTTTTTTTCCCTTTAGGTCAGAGATCAGATCTCGCTGTCACGGACTGCGGCAAGTAGGAATGACTTCACCCTGCAGCTACCCAAACTGCACCTGGAGACCTTTGCAATGGAGGGGCTCAAGGGCGGGCCAGAGGTTGTAGCGTGCCAGGTTAGAGTCTAAATAACATTGTTTGCTACCGAGACGTGTAGAAAAATAAAATGTAGTAACTGGACAGAATGAAAACCTCAAAGTATTGTGAATAACATAATGGAGATGCAAATAATTTTTCTTCTATCATGTAACACTATATTTCTTTCTTTAAAGTCTTGATCCAGCCTGTTAAATAATCCCAAAAAGTATTTTTTTTTTTACCAAGGAGAATATGTCTTTTATAGCTAAGTAAGTTTAAAAAATTACTTTTTTTTTTTAATCAGCAGAGGACAATAAGATGCTAGGCTGTTATCTTCTTAAGCTAATCTCAATTTGTAGCTCTTGCTGTTTTAAAATAAATCACTTTAGATAAAATTATCAGGAGAGATATTTGAAAATTTTCAATGTTAATTCCAAAGTATATCCAACATTTCTTACATGGGGATTTATTTAATTTCAGCAAGTCTAGAACTGTGCTTGGCAACATAGAGTATTTTGCCCTTTAATGTTTAGTTTTAATGAACATTATATGTGCAAACTGGGTTATTTCATTTATGAAACTCAAAGCACCAAATCATAAAACCTCAAATAATTTTAAGAAAAAACTGAATAAAGAAAATTATTTTCAAAAACATAATTCTTTTCAGATGTTGCATGTATCTTTCTATTCTAGGTTACTATTGTGTCATTTTATTACTTAGGTCTAAAGTTTTTTTTAATGAGACAAAACAAAATTTAATATTTGCTTTATTCTCCTTAAAATATCTAGTGCCTTTATTAGAAAAATGTATGAACATTATCCAAACCATAGGGAGCCTGATGTATCAAAAGAGGTAGTCCTTGTTTAAAAGCATTCTTGGTTTTTAAATTTTATTTAAAAGACAAATATCTTAAAACAGTCTGTGTTTCACATTTTGAGGTTTGAAATAAACTTTCATTCTTCAGTTTATGGCCCTGTGAAATTTTAATTTTGTACAAAATTAGTGTCAGTCCAAGTGGTGATATGTTAATTTTTTCCTACATGTTCCATACCCTAATTTAATTTGTTACTAATACTCAGATCAGAACTTTACAAAGAAAAAATAAGCACCAGTTGTTTCTTTCATTAGATTGTCGATCAGTATTTTTAAATATATGTAATTATAAAACTAAGCATAAAATATTTTTATTTCCAGGTATAGGCTACAATACTGTACCATTACTTAATACAAAATTAAGAAGTGCATTTTAAATTTGACTATCATTATTTATGAATTCATTGTAACCCCGAGCACAGTATGATTTGAGATTTTTCTAGTGGTTGTAAAATAATCCTTTACTTGGCTGTCTTGATTCAGACACTCATAAGGTTTAATACTTTTCATAATTCACAAATAAAGACTTCCCCCAAACTCTGGATTTGGGTGATTTGGAAAGAGATTGATGCCTTGGGATGCTATTTTTGGGGCAAACCATGAACGCTCTGTGGTTTTGACATTTGTGAATAGCAAGAAGGAAATGTATAGACCCATATGTTAAACTGATTTTTTCCAAGTTCTAATAAAAATAGTTAGGCACGTTACCATATACCTAAACACTTGGGTGAGTTTTGCATTGCCATGCTGTATTATACATTACAGTTTAGTAATAATATATTTTGGTTTAGTATTCCACACGGAGAAGAGCACATGATTTGGGCCATAATAGTGTTTTACACATACACACAGACACCCACACATGCCCTCACACATGTAGATGGTGATATGCGTTGAATACTTTGAGAAGAAAAGCACAATGTTAACTGATGACCTTAATTGTAGTAATAGTACCATTTCAGTGAGCATGTATTATGCACCAGGTATCATGCTTAGCTCTTTAAATACATGATTTCATGTAATTCTCAGAATGAAGCTGTCAAGTGGATGGCATTATCTCCATTTTAGAGTTTAGGGAGCTCTCCTAAGACCAACAGCAAGTAAACAGCAGAGCCTTAACTGATAAAATCTGACACTAAGAAATCTAGACACCTGTGTTAAATGGAAAGCGTGAAATCTTTTAAATCTATAGTGGAGTTTTTCTTACATTGACAAAAATGTTCATTCTGTATCTTTGTATGATGTAGGTCATAGTTTATGCTGTACTGTAGACAAATTCAAGATAAAAGATTTTGTTTTCATTTGACAGGCTAATATTATGGAACTCTATACCTTTTTACAGCATATAAATATGTATATTTATGCCAAGTGTGGCTGCATATTCAGGAATTAGCGTTTGTTTAGTTTTGCACTCAGTGCTGGTGGAGTGGAGTATTCAGTGAGTGCACGCGCTTTGGTTATGATGAAGAGGAGGGCATCGCTCTGCAGGTTGTGGTAGTGATGGACCAATTGGCCAACCTGCACAGCCATCATTCAGAGCGGTGGGTGCTGAAGTTTTCCTAGACAGCCCTGTGTGTCTTTTCCAACAGGGCAAGCTTCATTATGGGGATAATTCTGTACACAAGGAAGACCAGTGAGCACGATTGAGAGACGAAGAGGATGAGGGGTTTACCTTTTCTTTTTGGACACAGAAGAACATGTGACTGATGCTCTCCTTCAGGAGAAAATTCAGTTCAAGTGGTCTCTGATCTGCTAGCTTTTAGCCTCAGTTTCCTTCTCTGTAAAAAAAAGTTTTATGCTACCCATTTCTCAGGCGTGTAGTAGGATTGAATGAGGCAATGCATGTAAACAGGAGCACAGTGCATCACACAAGGAAAGCAGGCAAGGCATGGTGCCTGTTCTTGGTGCAGCCGTCCTGGGACCCCTGCAAAGATAAAACAAGCAATAGTCGCTTGTTTCCATTACTCTGAAGGGGCATGTGGTGTGTTTTATTTTGAGAAATCCTTATCTAGGATCTTTCTCTAGATCTTTCCATTTGGTTCTTTTAGTCTCTCTTGTTTCTTCAAAAGCTTGAAATTATTTTGATCAAGATCAGTGTTACTTCCCTACTTACTTTTCCGTGTTACTTGATGTTCCATTGAGGCTATAGTGCCACTAAAACGCTTTGCCTAAGCTTCTATGGCAAGTTTAGAACTATTGTATCTGTGCTCTTATCTCCGAGATAACAGCATATCCATCTGCCAGAGTCCTGGGGAAAAGTGTAGTGTGAATGCCGAGGACTTCATAATAGAAATATTTTGCCATACTGTATAAAGATAATAACCTGTTACTCGTTATCTTATACTTTGAATTTTGTGTTTTCTAAAGGACTGTTATCTAATAATTTAATATCGGGAAAATATTAGCAGGCATGCAATAAATGCTTGTGTCTCCATCCTCATTCAATAAGAAGCCAGGAACAATATCAGTAGCTAACATTTGTTGGGTGCTTATTCTGTACCAGGTACTGTGCTAAGCACCTTACATATACTGTCTCATTTAATACCTGCAACAACCTTATGCGTAGTAGGTGCTCTGCTTTTATCCATTTCATAAAGAAAGAAGCTCAGTTTATTGAGATGAAGTAAATTGCTAAAGGTCACATATCCAGTGAGTAGGGTAACTGGTCCATTCATGCTTTTAATCATGCCTTTCTGCCTTTTGTAAACCATTGCTTAGGCTTACTGTTTTGTGTGTGTGTGTGTTTTTGGTGTGTGTGTGTGTGTGTGTGTGTGTGTGTGTGTGTGTGTGTGAGAGGGGAGGGGAAGAAGGGAGAGAGAGAGTGAGAGAGACGGGGGGGTGGGGGAAGGGAGGGAGAGTGTGAACATGGCTGAGAGGGAAAGAATAAAGGCAGGGTCTGTCTGTAGAGTACAATTTCATTTGTGTGGAAATAGTGGAGAGAATAGGAATCCAAAAGAGGTTAACTGGGAAAGTTACTTAAACTGCTTATTTGGCCTCTTCATCTGTAAAGGGACGATAATAAAGGTTTCTAACTCCGTGTTAGTGTGACTGGCGAGTGAGTGGGTTAGCACATCTGAAGGGCTTAGAATAGTGACAGGTCCATTGTAAACACTCAGTATTTATTTGTTAGCTGTCCCCTCCCGTGGAAGCTCCGCAGGCCGGGACATGGTGTGCTCCCTGCCACGTCCTCCGAGCTGGGCGCTGTGCGGGCAGGAGGCCCCAGCAGGTGCGGGGAGGAATACTTGATTTCAGACGCTGGGCAGGTTGGCGCGGGAAGCTGCTTTGCCCCAGTCGAGAGACTTGATACCAGTTTTTACTTCTGGGCCCATTCATTTAAAAAGAAAAAGCTCCCCGAACCATCTCATAAAAGGCGTTAAAGGCTTAGTGCATAATAACTCTACCTCTGGAAATAACACTTTACAAATATGTGTTTATAAACACTTCATTAGAAAGGCTTCATTGTGAAACCACTTATTTATGAAGATTCTAAACAACAGAGTCTTCACCATAATAAATACAGTAATCCCTTAATCACCTCTAACCCACCATGTCATTATACAGTCCTTATTTGGTATGGCTTTTTGTTGTTGTTGTTATGGGTTATACCCATGACTTTAGGGATACCATAGTGTTTTACACTTATACTTATTTTCCAGGCATAGAAATTACTTCCAGCTATTTTGTTGTATTTATAAAGTTAAACCATAAAGAGCATCTTGAAGGGAATTTTGTTCTTATTTTTTTATGTGTAGAAGAAAGAAATAATTATCTGTTCCTAAACTGTCGGGGAATAAAAATATCAAGACTCTTGGTAATTTTTTACATGTGTTGTCTGCTACTTAGTGCAGCAGTCTTCTAATTGCTGTACAAGAAATTTCTCCTTTTCTAGCATAGTTAGAAATTACAGAGATGCTGCACTTTCTACTTGAAAGATTGTGTTCTTTAGATATTTTCTCCTTCATGTTATCTCAACAATATAAGTGAATTTCCAGGTACCTGATTATTTTTTAAAACGGGAAAATCAGCCATTTTGAATGGAAATCTTGCTAAATATGTCAAATGCTATTTTTTAAATAAAAAGAATATATACTGAAATTAAAATTTTATTATGCTGGTTCATTATTATAGATATAAACTATAATAATACAACAGTAGTATAAAGTG